CCTGTCTGTTACTCTTGTCATCTGATATTTCATTAAATACTAACTGGAAACAAACTCTAAAAGAGGATTATACCAAAATATTTATATATAAATAATATATATAGAAGCTTTCACATTTCATTACACAAATACAGGCACCCAAGGGATTTGTTTCCTATGACAATTAAAACATTTACAGCATATTTGGGTAGCACTGTTCTGCAAAATTTAGTGCTACTGCCTCATAGCCCAGGGCTCCAATTCTGGTCTTGGGCATCTGTCACCAAAGAGTTTTAATATTCTCCCTGAGTTTGCAGGAGCTTTTGCCTAGTGATCTGATTTCCTCCCAATTCCCAGAAAGATGGTGGCTATGCTTGAATGGTTATTCTAATTTTTTTCTCAATGTCTCTGCAATGACCAGTCACCCTACCTGTGGGGGAGCAGTTTTGCGCTCTCAGTCCCAAAATGTACCCTATACTTGCCGTGACCTTCACCAGAACAAGCAACTTGCTAATAATGGATGGTTAGAAGAATGCTTAGCATATCCATTTACATAGGAAAAATAAAAAATAGTTTAATGTTTTAATATATCTAAAATCCACTTTAAGATACAAAATGTATCTATTGCAGCAAAGAACATGAGAACGTCTGCAAAAGAAGCTGAGTGATCTCTTCTTTCTAGCCTGGCAAGAGTGACCAGAGCATGGTTTCCTAATGTCTCTGTGGTCAAATCTGAAAGCACGAGACCTGGTGAGTGACAGAGCCCCTACCTTCAAGAGTTTCACAGGTTCCTACTATCAGTGTCTGTGTGGTCAAGTCTGAATGCAGAGCGTGTGTTGTGTGAGCATGTCTGCAGTGTGTTCATCATTCTGAAATTGCTATAGGAGAATCTCTGAGATTTGAACGTAGACAGTCCTGTAGCCAAGGAATTCTGAGTTTTGAGAACACAAGTTGCAGCAATTTTCACGCAAATGTCTCAGGAAACACCATCAGCCTATTTCAGGTGTATCCCAGTTGCATGCAGTCTTTTCACAAGCCTCACAGGAAAGTGGAATAATCTCTTTTGACTTCATTAAAGGCCAGACAGCAGCTGCTGATGTATCTGCTTCATCCTTCACTGCAGTAGCACCACTGACTGACCCAGAAAGCTCTGCCTAGACAGCGCAGCCCTGAACACAAGCAGATTACAACACCTCAAGCCTAAAAGCCTATAAAGTGTTAGAATCAAGTGTTATAATATAAATATGATATAAAGACGCCCACATCACAAATACCTTCAACACTGAACAAGACGTGCTTGTCCTCACCCTAAGAACGAGCCGGAAATTGCACATTTTGAGACTCTGGTATGCAATGGCCAATCATTATCAAAAGAACGAAAACACAACCTTTGCAGCTGCCTGGAATAAAATTTAAGCAAGCTCTTCACGAAAAAAACAAAACAATTTGAGCGGCATTCATTTAAAAGCAGCACAAATAATACAGGGTGTCTTACCTAAACATGAATAAATCACATAAGTATTACATCACAAAAATATGAAAACTATTTTTCTTGAGATATACTGTTCTAATGAAAATGTTCTATCTTAAGAAGAGTATTAATTCCCATCTTTACATGATAAAAACTGAGACCCTGGCTTGCTGCTGTGTTTTCTTGTTCAAGTGGCTTAAGACATGATACAGTGTGTTGGTAAAGATATAGGCCTACTCTATATATAATTTGTTTTACAACTGATACCAAGCTGCAACTACAAAACTAAAAATTTAATGCTAGTTATTTTCAAAAAGTGTAACAGTGTGTGCTAATCAAAAAATGACTTTTTTTTAAGTTTTCAAACTTCAGAATGAATAAATGTTCACACAGCCAATATAAAACCTGACCTGCTCCATCTCTCAGTCTAATTCTTATACACGTCTCTGTCTACAGGCCGAATTTTGGAGGACATAACACTAAAGCCCTACAGGAAAAAATGTCTGCACATTTGGTTTGAAGATGCAGTTAAATCCTCTGATTTTTTTCCAACAACCAGATCATCCAATCGTTTTACTGTATGATGTTATCATTCCCATTCACTGATAAAGCTACTCTTTTGTGAGCATCTCCCAAAATGGAATTTAAGGACACCTTAGGAAGGACAGTAGGTGAACAGGACCCACACATCACGAAACAACTGTTTCACCGGCGGGCAGCAAAAGGGCAAAACGTTCAATTCGGGAATCAGTGCACCTGCTTCTACATTTGCAAAAGAATGCAGCCTTTTTTTTTTAATCACACCGTGCTAAAAGGTGATGACTGGAATCGCTTGCTCTCCAATAGCCTGCCTCTGCCTTCCGCGCAATATTATATAAAACCGCACTCAATGAAGCGCTTCGCTGCAGGCGAGGAAGAGACGGAGCAAAAGAAAACAGCTCGGAAGAAACACTGCGGATTCAAGAAAGACAGAAACGTCGGTTTGGGGGTATCGGAGCAGGAGTTACGTGCATCCGAGGGCTGCAGGTAAACCACGCCTGAACTCAGACGTCGCCCGGGGCATCAGACAGCAGCGGCATCTCCGGCATCAGATTAAACCGATTCAGGACGAGTCAGAGGCGCCATAAACATGGAAGAGTACAGCCCCCCCCCGACACGGCGGCTCATCGCTCCGGCCTTGCACAGGCTCCGCGCTTAAACCCCGGCTGCGGCACGTTTAACACAAATCACTCCCCCTCTGGGCTGACTTTCACGTATAATCAGTCCTGCAGATGTTAAAGCTCCGAAATTAACCACCTCGTTTAACTACTGACTACCGAGTCATGCGTGTCCTTCCTAGTGCTCTTTATTTATTTTTTTTAAAGCACACAAGACGCACAGACAACTGCAACGCGTTGTGGGTATTGCAAGCACTTCGACTCTGTTTAAAAAAAATGAATGCGGTCCCTTTAAAATATAACGGATAATTTGATAAATGCTATAACGGACAAAGTTTTTTTTTTTTTAATCCTCCTTGTTGTGGAGATACGGAAAGAAGCGAGCCGATTAACACGTTTTCCTCAGCGCCCCATTAAATACGAGTCTTTGCGTGCTTTGTATTTGAGTAGTAACGTGTCCAAAATTAAATGTACTGTAGCGCGCACATCCTGCAACAGCAGATTTTTGTCTTTTGTTTCGCCTTCTATACAAAAAAAAAACACTGCGTGTAAACCTTGCAAGGCAGCGAAGTAAAACAGCTGCTTTTTTACAGCACGGGCAACAACGATAACTACCGCTGAAAACGTGGAACAAGGCCTTTCTTACCTGTGACACGTCCAGTCAAAATACACGGTAAATCCCGATAAGTTTTCGGGAGTAACCCAGCAACGGAATTCCCAATCCTAGTCACGCCAGCACCTCTTGTTTTTACCGCTTTGACATCCCCACCACGCGCTGCCGCATACCCCCGCCCGCTCGCCCGCGGGGGAGCTGCCATTGGACGAGAGGGCCAGAGGTCGCCAGCGGCGGCGCTGCTATTGGACGGCGGCGCTGTCTCTCTCGGCCTGCCCCCGGGGGCGGGCCGAGTTGCTGCGTCGCCGCGGACGACAGCGCTGCAATACGGCCCGCGGGACGTCTGTTGCCGCCATGGCGTTACGCCATTGGTCTGAGCGTCTGGTTTGAAAACGAGAGAAGTTGCCGCACTCCACGGCCTGCGAGGTTTGGTTCGTTACAAGCAGAGGTACCGCAGGAATCAAGTTTGGCAGGTCCAACGCGCAGCCTGGTCTAGCGTGATATAATTGGCCGATAGCCATCAAATCACGCATTCAATCTCTGCCTGTTACCAGGTAGTTTAATTTACATAAGGAATGTCAGAACACAGTCGGTGCCTTGTGTTATACCAACAACATTATTGTTTTTTTTTTACAATAAAAGCAACGAACTGTAAAGCAATTTATGTTAAGCAAAACACCAAAATACAGCCTAACCTAAGTGTTTTATAACCTAAAACACAATTATGTCATGCCAGCTCGGTTTACACTTGAAACTCAAGAAGCGATTCCATGATTTGTTTTGAAGGGGGTCTGCCCTTACCATCTTTTTGAAACAGGAGAAATGCTGAACGATTTTTTAACAGTTAGACACAAGTACAGTACACCCAGTGAAGGGAGTCCTGGGGTTAGTTTCGAAGCCTGTCCACACTTCCAATAAAAAAATGGGTTGTGCAACGCAGGCTTTTATTTTCATTTCAGATCAACTTCTCAGTTTGTCAGCAGCTGATGTATTAGACACCTAAAGTCAGCATTATTCCATCAAGGCGAAGACAGTCGGGCAAAATGCACTTGACACATTTACATATCTGACTGCATTTAGTGGATTAACGACTCCTGTATCAGTAACCCCCCGTCATCATGCTTTTGAGATATGATCTGCACTTGAGTGGATCCACTGAACTTCCACAAACCTTACAGTGATCTGTATTAACAAACATTAAAAAATGCAATACTCATACTAAAAGAGCAACAGCTAAACTCTCACAATGGAAGGTTAAAAAAATAAAGCTTATGAACATATTCCACATGGTGTTAGGTGTTGAAATGCTAATGCTCAACATAAACCCCCCCCACACACACACACTCTCCCTACGTTGTTCTGGGGAATGAGCTGAGAGCTGTCTATCGAAGCCACTACAGAACCAGTAGGCCATTTTCAATGGGATCTGGGCTCCATGGATTATCTGCTTCTCAGAACTAGAGCAGGGGGCAGTTGAATGGGCTGTCTAAGGTACCAACCCACTTCAGTTCTCCTGTCTCCTAAATTTTTTTAATGCAAACCAAAAAGAATGCAAAGGCATGATAAGCAATGACACATAAAGAAGGAAAGCACAGATCTACCTGGACCTCCACAAGTAAACAAATTAAACACCCCAGATATTTTTAAGCAAGCTTTTGTGAGGGTCGTGTAGTATGCGTCTCTATAAAAGGAAAGCCAGGAGGAAAATCTCCAAAAAGCACCATGTTGATGTGAAATACATTCTTCGGCAGGTGTTTATAAAGAATACACAACCACTGCACCACTTTAATCATCTTGTTTATTCAGTTCTGAACGAGGGATTCTAACACCGGAGCTCTGGTTTCCTTTCAGAAGATGTTTAGCTCATTGCTGCCGTTTTCTACCGTACCCACTATGGCAATGCACAAAAGAAGCTTTTTTAAAAAATAAATTACACCATCCATTAGCTTGCCTTCAGGATACTCCCAGTAATGCATTTTACTCAGCCATGGAAAGTTGATCCCTGCTGGCAAAAGATAAACAGCTAAATTAAAGTTAAATGACAAGCAACCAGATCAGATATTCGCACTAGCCAATTTCACACATACAACAGCTCCGGCCGAAACCAGCTTGCGATTCTCCTATGGTAATAACATTGCAAAATCCTACTTTAAGAACAGGCACCGGAAGCTTTTAAGCCATTTTAAACTGCAAAATCATTCTACAGGAGGTGTTGCGCAATCCAGTCAATACAAGGGGGCTGGGTGCAGTAAGTTAATATGACAGACGACACCAAATACATGTGTTTCCCTTACTAAGAAATAGCGCAGCAAAAGAGACTTTTAAGCAAAACCCGCAATGATGCCTTTCAGAACTTCAGGGTCCTTCGTTTTTAGTACACTCAGAGAATGGGACAGGGTCAGAGAGGGTGCAGTTGGTTTATTCATAGAGATCGTTAGATCAACAAAATCATTATTCTTATTCCACCCATGCATGGAACCTAATATAGCAATATTGTTCCTGAAATGTTAGCGACCGGCACAATAAAGCAGAACACATCTAACAGTTTGTTTGATTAATGACAGACATTAAAAGGAGAAATCATCGTTCATTCCATGCCACCCACTCTTCCCCTAATTACAACACCCCCTGTGAACAACAACACTAAAAATCAAAGCAAAGGGATTGCAGTTTCCCCTTTTATACCAAGACCCCTGCTGCTGTGTCCCGCAACAGTCTCCTCTATTAAAATCAGTTCACAAAGCACAGATTCTTTTGCAAAACAGATATACTGGATGTCTCTTATGCATGGAAGGGGTAACAGTTATGGGGCGCCATGATCTTTATGACAAGCCAAACACTGAGCCCTCTCTCTAAAGGGATGGTTGTAAAAGGGTAAGTGCCCGTTATCAAGCTGGGGTTCTGCTAGAGCTTCGCGGGCCAACTCAGTCTTTCAGAACCAGAGGCGCCTTGACCTGAGCTGCCACCTCTGGGCCCAGCAGCGCCTCCACGATGGCCAGGGCGAACTCAAAGCTGGTCCCAGGGCCCCGGCTGGTGATGAGGTTGCCATCCTTTTGCACCCGAGCCTCTGAGTACTTGTAGTGCTCTGCAGGAGAGGAGTTTACCCATGAGACTCAACGGTAACAGACTGTCAAGGCTAAGAGTGCTATACTGGTACGCAAAGCAGAAGGTAAAATAAAGCAGAAAAAAAGCCAAATCCAATATTTACAAAAGCAAACCCCGGCACTACGGTAATGTCAATATAGATACTCTTGTTGGAGCCAACTTTGCACCTTACCCCTCTCTATAATGCCACCCAGGCTCGCTGTCCAAGCTGAGAAAGTACGAGAGGGAATTTCAGCACAAGCGGATGTTTTCAGCACCCCCTGCTGGACTATACACCTCATAGCAATTTGTTTTAACTTTTTAAACAAATTTAGGAAAATGTGCACATGCATGTTTTTCTTCCTCATCTCACACCGTTATTGTCTTCGTGTGGCAACGGGACCTTTTTTGTCAGGGTGCAGCTGGTGTGCAGTAACACAAAAAGTCAGGTCAAAGGCTAGCCGCTGAAGTGTGAGCTCCGAGTCTTGAACACATCGTTTAAAGGTTCACCACAACCCATTCCAATCAGTTCGCAAACTCTCTCTGCATTTCCTCAATGGTATATCAGCAGGGGACAGTTCTCTTGAGTATCTCAGAATCCTTAAACCTGTAGATCACAGAGCTTTTCTGGCTCCTTACAGATGTGAAAATTTGTGTTTATACCACACATCAGATGATCACTGTGTTTCAAAATAAACACCAGACAAATCAATGGATAATGAAGATGATACAAACCCTTTCAGGTAGTGCAGATTATAGCCCTTACTTCTTTATTAACGGGAACTGATAGTGAATGTAACAGTGAGCATGTGCTCAATGGTGACACAAGCGGTGAGCTTCTTTTTGCCTGGCCCTGCAGATATCCATTACCTCCATTCATCATCTTGTCCTTGGCGAGGGGGTGGGTGGTGACAGTGCTGCCGTAGGCAATGCCATGAGCAAGGAGGGCCGTGGGACCTAGAACACAAGACACGTCTTTCAGACACGCTGCGCGGTCGCTGACACCTGCGCGCTGTCTGTGGAATGCAGGTGGCTCACTAAGGGACGTCAGAGAGGCTACTGGAACTGAACCTGAGCTGCCCAAAAGCAAAGGCCTTTACATAAAAGGTTTCCTAACAGAATATATAAGTTTACCCAATTAATTACCCGCCTTAATCAACTAACAACTTATTCCCTGCATTTTATAAACTCAGAATTGCTCAGATGTAACTTGCCTTTATAGCACTGAATTCAATGCTCAGAGGATGTCATTTTATAATGGTCTTAGAAAAGGAAGCATTTTATTGGTTCATTTTAGTTCAGTTATGTAAGAACTGCATCCAGATAGTTCAGCTGCACAAGTTTAATAAATGGCAAGTACTGTAAAAAATGAATATGATTTGGCTCAGCTATAATGTAAATACAAAGTCTGCAGCTTACAACACATTTTCAATGTCATACATCTTATGTAGTCTTGCTGGATCTCCGGACCATTACAGAATGATGCAGTAAAGGCATGTGCATTCAGCTTTCTGTGCCAACAGGTATTTAGTACCTTTGTGCATATTTAACCATGTAACCATTCATTCTTAGACATCTTTCATATTCCAAACAATCACTCTTTTCTTATTACATGTGAACTGTATTTTTTAGTCAATTTAAGAACGCTAAATACTAGAGAAAAGCAAAAAAAACATCAGAACTTAGCAGACTTAGTAAGAGCTAAAGAAGACAGTTTGAAAAGGTTACGTCTTTCAGTAATGTATGTATAAACGATATAGTTCTTGGAATATCCATTAGTAGTACCATTAAGAACAATCAATTCCATGTTAAACAAGTACTCAAGATATTGCAACACAAGCAGAATTAAAACAGTAGAGTACAACTTAAACCCAAGACTCCAAGACTCAAACAGCAAAAAAAGAAGGGAAAATTCATTCAATGCCCATTCTTTCACTAACTACTTTATGTTTGCTGCATTAATATTGGCAGTACCCTTCTTTAGATGGAACAAAAAATCATTATGCAGGAGGATGAGAGCTATTGATTAAAACTCCTGGCTAGAATCCTACAAACTTTCCTGATTACACTCTCCCAGTTGCACTATTCTCTTCTCTTGTTACGTGACCTGAGGCACTGTGAAAGAGACTCAGTTGGAGCGAGTGCTGGTTTCAGAGAATGAGAAAAAAAACCACACAGCACCATTTGAGCACAAGGAACACATACCAGGTTCTGACTACACTGTGGTGTAGGCTCAGTCACCAGAGCACGCCAGGGTACCAGACAGAGTCAGCAGGACCACGCTAGCAGTTCCAGTCTAGCTGAGTGGTGTCCAAAAGATTAATCAATTCTTATTCCTAATAAAGATCGAAAGACACCTGAGCCTATCCCAAAATCCCAGGGCTCAAGGAGGAACTACACCCTAGATAGGATGCCTCTCCATCCGACGGAAGATATACAAGAACAAAGTAACGATTAAACACACAAATTTACCTAGCCACATTTATCTGGTCTTTGGACAGCTGGAGAAAACAAGACACAGAGAACACCCACACCAACTCAGGAAGAACATGTAGACATCACGCAGAAGACATCACAATCTGGAATCAAATCCCAGAATGCCAAATCAGACTTTCAGAGCATGCTGAAGAAGCAGTGTGTTCATTCTTTCCCGTTTCCAGCTGACTGGTGTGTGCAATGGGCTAAACTGAAAACAGCGCAAGTGAAATTAGAAATCAGCCGAGTTATCGATACAGGTAGTTTGTGTTTTAAAGGATAGCTGTGTTCCTGAAAAATGCCACTAAACTACAAAATGCATAGATTAAAAACGAATTTCCTGTAAGAGTTCCTGTGATACAAATAATCGCACGTTCACTCAATAAAAGATGTTCTTATAGTTGTGCTAAAAGTCAGTTCTAAATTAAATGTTTCTTCCTGTTTATTGACAGGTAAAAGGTGAAAACAAGACTCATTAGTGGTGAGTGATAAACAGAGTGGAAAATGGCCACAGACGCATCTCCACAGCACAGTTGTTTTTTTGGTCCTTTTACTCTCAGTGAGCTATTTAAATGCCATTTATTTTAAAATCTCCTAAGTAACACTACACATCATCTTTATGTAGGTTTTCAGATTATTATTAATTTAAGATTGAATAAATTCGACTGTAAAACAAAACAATGTAAATGTTGATGATTTAGGTTTTTGTTATAAAGGATTAAAAGAATGTTCTATTTACAAATTATTCACACCGTCTTAGGATTTTTCCCCACACTGTTTTACAGTATTATTTTCGATTTTCCACAATAGTAACATAAGGTACAGCCTAAGACAATAAAGACATTGTACAAACTGAGCTAGCGTGAGACAATGGGAGATGAATGGTGGCTGGAAGAGCACAGAGACAGATTACCCAGCCGTCTGTGCATCATGGATGCAATTCTCCTCATATCTCTACTCACAGCTGGTACGCACAGCCTGTACTGTCTCAAACACTGTCGGTGTGGCTGCTGCTGGCCGCACCAGCAATTGTTAAAATGTGAACTCAATCTAGTTTAAAAACCAGTATATTCTTGGAGGTGCCATAAAACACAAATGTGAAAATTATGAGCATGTAAATCAAGAGCTACTCATGCTGCTATATTGCATCTTATGCTTCCGATACTTTTTCTACTGCAGGGAAGCACTAAAAACATGCCCATGTATTTAACACAGAGGAGGCGGTACTATTGTACTGTGACATTGACAGAAACACATTTGGGCGATAAGCGTTTCCAAGTCCAGGAAATCAATGTCCTTGCACAGGAGCCAGGTATAATGTCATAGACCCGCACGCGTTCGGAAACCTTGTCCTTATTAAAGATTCCTGTGGGGATGTCAGGCTGTTCCCAGGACACCCTTCACTGTGGTTTGCACTGCTGCACAGGCTGGCCGTCTTTGTTCTGTGCCATCTGCAGTGGCCTTCCAGTACCCTTGCTCAGTCAGGAATACACTTCAATCTCCTCCGCTGCGCCTCATGGAAAACATCCGCAGGGAGATTCATCAAGGTGCGACATTCTTCACCTCTTTTTGGTCGTGAACACAAACCTTTTATTTATACTTTCTTGTGGCTGTAGATCTCTATGCTGCCTTGTCATAAGGTGATGTAAAAACAACACTACATCCCTCTTCCTAAGCAAGGAGTGGTGGCACTGTGGCTAAGGATCTGCGCCTGTGGCTGGAGGGTTGCTGGTTCAAATCCTGCGGCCAGCAGAGGAATCCTACTTCGTTGGGCCCCTGAGCAAGGCCCTTAACCCCAGCTGCTCCAGGGGCACCGTATAAATGGCTGACCCTGCGCTCTGACCCCAGGCTTCTCTCTCCCTGTCTGTGTGTCTCATGAGAGCAAGCTGGCGTATGTGAAAAGACAAATTCCTAATGCAAGAAATTGTATATGGCCAATAAAGTGATCTTTGTGCTGGCCGTTATCAACTGCAGCACTGCTTCAGCTCGATGCGTCTGCTTGCGTTCCAAGTTCTAATTCCAGTAGACACAGCCAATGTAGGAAGTGTCAGTTAAAGGTCAAGCAATTAAAGAAATACAAGAAGGATGAAGAGGATCAAAGTTTTGTTGCTATTTTTATTTTTGTTGCATAAGCATTTGTCAGCAGTCTTATCAATGACTTTTCGTTCTGTAAGACAGAAGGGTCAGGACAACTTCATTGCATCATCCAGCATCCAATACGTTGAAAGTCGCAAGGCTCATTTGGTCTTATTTTCTTAAATTCTTTAATTAAAATCATAAAACAACGACTCCAAATCTTCACTGTTAAGTACCACAGCTCCTGCTAGATCTGCTGGGTCCACATCAGTACGAGATACAGAACCGTGCTGTCCGGGTCGGATCCGAGCAGCAGCAGTGGAAACGCCTTCCAGCTGCAGCTCAGTCAAACCAGCCCACTCATCTACAGCTGATAACTGCCAGTGAAAGTGGGGCAGATGGAATAGAAACACCTCTGTATCGATGCATTGTTAGGCTGCAAGCAGGGAATATTTCGTGATGCGCACCTCTGGGATTTCCAAAATCTGTCAGCAAATTTAAAAAACTTTTAAAAACTGATCACGTTTAAGATGCCCTTCTTTTTTCAAACTTATTACTCTATTTCAAATACATAGTTTGAAATTTTACAGCATCGCGCAAAAGTGGTCTAAATGACCTCTTTGTGCGTTTTTCTTAAGTCTTCCTATTTGTCTAGGATTTTTAAATTCTTTGACATACAGCTCTCTCCAGAAAGAGCCAGTGAATGGACTGGCACATGCATCTGTTAACAGGACAAGATTGTGTAGCCCTCTGTGCTTTCTGAATGAGCCCCCGCTCACACCTCTGCGTGCCCTGAATGAGCCCCCGCTCACACCTCTGCGTGCCCTGAATGAGCCCCCGCTCACACCTCTGCGTGCCCTGAATGAGCCCCTGCTCACACCTCTGCGTGCCCTGAATGAGCCGCGATATCTGGGGATACCTGCACAGATGGCAGCAATCAGCCCCTTCCTGCCTTCCTGGTCCTTCAGCACGTCTTTCACCACTGGAGACTGGAAGAAAAAACACAAGGAGTCTGGCCACACAAATCAACACTAGTACGCACAGTAATGAAAAGTAGAGTTCTGCGCCTCTCATAGGATTCCCATGTTACATAAATACAATTACACCTTGATGTATGTCATTAGGGGCAGCTGTTTAACTCCACACTATGTGACAGAATTAGGTTTTTGTTTCTATTAAGTAACTCTTTTCCGTTCCTATTCACCTGTCCCACTCCCCCACAGTTTTAGTGGAAACTAGGGCCCTGTGCTGCGGTCCTGCTCTTACCTCAGACAGATTCTGCGCCCCCAGGTTTCCTCCGGGTAAAACCACCACATCGTACGGGCCCTGGGGAGAAAAGGGCAGGCCACATCACTGCCGACACAGCCCTGCTTTTTCACACATCGCCACAGAACACCTCTCTACAAACGGACGGGCAGCCTTCGTTAATCCATCTGCTGTATGCAAAATAATTTGAAGCACAAAATGCCCAATGTGACCCACCGTGTGAGGAGAGCAGAGTTAACACTTCAGCCTTTACTCCTGAATCTTCCGCTAGGCTGACACAGGTGCCATTGTCAACAAGTGCGCAAGTTAACCTACAAAAAGTGCAAAGTAACCTACAAAAGCACCACTTAAAGAAAAAAAAAATGATACCACATAAATCTTAAATAAATCCTTGCCGAATCCATCAATAAATCCTAATAAAGCCCAGCCTTTGTATTCCTCAAGTCTGCAATAATATTGATGATTGTGGCCCACCAGTGTTGTTTCTTTTAACCCTTTGGCAGAAAGGAACACGCAGTGTTTTACTGTGGGTAAACTGGTGGTCAAATGCAGAGTTTAGCCTGGGTTCAGAAATACAAACTTGAATTTGACGGCATTTAAACACAAACTCCTTTCAACACATGGCGCGCACGCGTGTGGGACACTGCTGCTCGGACCTGCGCGCGGGCTTCCTCCAGGCTGGCATCAGGGCAGATGAGCACGTCTCGGCTGCACTGCACGGGCTCCTTCCCCGACAGGCCGGCCAGCGTCACGCTCACCTGCGGAACAAGCGCCCTCCGTCAGGTCGATGGGTTTCTGGCCTCACACGGTGCCCAGAAATCCTTTACTGGCCTGATTCATTTCAACCCTCTTTGTATGCATATGCCGGTGATCAAAAGAATGGCATCACTAACAAACACATAAAATTACGTGCAAAGGTAAAGTCAGAGGCTAGCAATGCTTTCAAACACTGTTGGGCATGAGGCCAGCTTTACACACGCTTGCAGATGAGGCCTTGTGGGACGGCGTCCCATTCTGATCACTGAGCCTGGACTCAGGAGCTCCTTAAGGTCTCTGAGCCTTAGAGAACGCATCCCAGTGATGGACGGGGCTTGTTTCGCCTAACATTACAGTTCTGCCTCAATCAGACAGCCTTCGCAATATTACAGAAGTCATTTTAATTAGAAATGAACTACCCAAGAACATCCCTGCAGCTAACTGACATTTACAGTAGACCCCAGATCTATCTTTATCACATTCCGCGTCACTGACCCCGCCTCTCTTCAGTTTATTGGATCACTTTCACGCCACTTTTGCACCGTGCCTGCAGACTGGTTAAGAGACATTGCTCTTTCCAGAACTATCCCATGAAGATGCACAGTGATATTCAAGTCACTGACAAGTAAATGAAAATTACAGTACCATTGTACTGTAGTCAACTGCAATGTGCAAATGCCGAGCTCTCGCATACATATTAATCTTTCAAAATCTAATCGTCCTAAGACTACGGCCTTTACTATTAACTCGGTGTCCTTGTTTTTGAGTGCTTTGTAGTATTAAATGTATTAATAATTCCTATCACTTGTTAAAAATGAAGACTTCATAGCAGCAGACAAAAATGCATCGCAGCCTTGTAGATAGCGTAACGCCGATTATTCGTCGTTATTACCGTGGATGACCGTTTCAAGGCACCGATTCATACTCAAACATCTGCTGCAACGCTGGCGGTTTATTTCGTAATTTCTTTCAGTACAAACACAGTTATGTCTTTTGTGGAAGCTAGAATATATTATATACAAGCAATAACTAAAAAATAGTTCTCTTATTCTGCAGAACAGAAGGAATGCGCATCATTAGGCCTGAGGATAGCACGTTGTTTTCATGCACCACCTATGCTGAGGTAAAGTTTAAGCGTGTCAAACTGCCGCATACAGTACAGACCCCGGCTCTGCGCATGATGTCCACCGGGATAACCGTCTCCATCTCCTCAGCACCCTTCGACAGGATAACCAGAGCCCGCTTGGCTGCCATTTGTGTGAACTCTGAAGAGCCAAAGCAAACTTCTTAGATTGAGGTTGTGAACAAAAGGCACTTGCAGACGACCTGAAACTCAACAGTGTCCACACACACACACTTCCCTAGCTACGGCAAAGGCTCGGGGACAAACAGCGCGACCGAAATGCCACGGGGGCTCAATTTTATGAGGCGCGTTCTTGATCCTAATCCACAAGGCGTGTACTTAAAGCTTTATTACCATCATTATTTCGTGTCCATACTTAACTATAAATGAAAACAACACTTGCATAACGAAATGAAGAAATGGGAAGCTTCTCAGTATGAGCTGCTGTTGGCAGGTGTGACACTTCTTCAGCCACTAGAGGGCGGTGTCACCTTAGTGATGAAGAAGCATCCTATGTGGTCCATGACATTAACACATTTTCTTTATATGTACTGTATATAGATGCTAAATATAGATATTTGCTATTCTTCTTCAGAGGTGTTAAGGGCACATGTCCACATGGTTTAATACCAGAAACAATATATATCCATTAAATTCTGCGATGTGAACACTTTTTCTAAATGCTGATGTAGAATCTCTGAAGGATGTGACATATTCCAAAAAAGCTAAAAGTGCAGGACGTCTGTGCCTATACAGATTCACCCAGTACTGCGCTGTACCGTTTTCCCTCAGACATCTCCAGCCTCTTGTGTAAAAGACGCTTCTGCACGGGCGCCTTTGTGAGAGCCCGCAAAAAGTTCAGTTTTGTGTGGGGTGTGTCACACTTATTATCACTTTTGCGCCTTTTAAAATGTTGCGATCAGCACCTTGTCAGAAATGTTCAATGTAGTCAACTATATTCAAATACAGGTTGCTTAAACTGTAATTAGTTTAGTTATAGATTACGTTTTCTCCACGTTCCTTGTGCTGTACTTTATACTTAAAAAGAAGATTTGGGATATTTTGTCATTATTTACCATTCCTAGGTTAGTAGTAGACGTGGTGGCAGCTGTATTGGTGTGTATTTAATGTTAAATTACAGTAGACCTACAAGCATAGATATTTTCTTAGGATATTTCCAGCAAATATATTAAAAGTCCCTATAGAGTGCATTAAACTGTTTGCACTTTGTTTTGTTTTTTTACACTTGTTTTATGATCGAGAGACTTTCTGTTAGTAAGAATTCCATTGTACCAGTACCGGTTACATATGGCAATAAAGTTCATGTTCAAGTTCAAAATATAATTGAAGTACTATACTTAAAATAAAGTACCCTCAGAATCTTTTACTTGATTTAAGTCCAATTGATTTAGTACTTCCATTGGTCTTAGTTTGTCAATATTTGAAATATATTAATATTATTCAAAATATATTTTGAAATGCACTGTTTTTTTATTCTTCAAGATGTGAGCGATGTGAACGCGCTCTCAATAACTTTCAGATGGCACAACCCATGAACAACAAATGAACGCACCAAAAAGCGCTAACATCACCAGTGTCCACAGGGGGGCGCATAGTGCACAATGTGGATCCCTGTAGATAGGTAACCGCACTCTCAGGTGTGCACCGTGATTTTCAATAGGAAATTGTTCTCCGTGGATTCTTGTCCATTGATCACGTCCACGTTCAGAACGTCTCGTAAGGGTCAGGATAGATCCTATTTGTGTAAGTGCTAGATTTCAATGCTCTGTAGTAATCTGTTCTGACCACAGTTCAGGTGGATAGCTGCGTCAGCATGCGGAGTCGGCAAAGGAACAAGAAAATAGATTTATTCCATGCTGAGAAGAGAAGATGTGAAGCCTTGTACAGCTGTGATCCCGACACTTGTTCTGACAATATGGTTGTTCCAATAGGACCGAAAACTTTACGCGAACCCTGTATGTCGCAGACAATATTTTTTATACTCACAATTCAATGAGTCAATTACAATATACTGGTGGGAATTTGAATCCCTGTCTGAATTATTGGGGTAAGTGCACCGACTGGGCCCAGGAAGTCTGCTTCCTTACAAGCTACGCCGTGCAAATAGCTCAGCTGCATAAGCGAGTCATAAACGGACACCAGGGAATTATATTTTCATGTAAATCAGAACGTGAATGGTTTGGAGATTTAATATGCAGGCACTTGTCCCAATTTAATGCACCAGTGTGCATTCTGCAGTTGCATTTTCATATTTGTGCAACTTAAAAGAGCCCAATGAAACAACGGATTAAATAAAGATTTGGGGTGCTGTAGCCGGCCTATTTTCTACGTGCCTGTTTGCAAATCCAGAAGGCAGTAACGATTACCGAAATATGTAACCGGGATCACTGAGCCTGCCGCAGTCGTACACTAGCTATTTTCCCTAAACAGGCATTTATTTATTTTTTATTCTTTACATAAGAAGCTTATAGTGAGCATATGATCATACTGAGGGAATGCTTATTAAACTCGCTTGTAAACCAGGTAACCTCGTAAGAATAGGGATTAAAGTCTGAAACACTGACGATGCAAATTTGCCCGCTGAGCCATCTGTGCGATTCTGCAAACTTAAATGAGGCGTAGCGGGCGCTTCTTCCTAAATATCCAACTTTCTTCCCCGACGCTCTTTGTTGTTGTCATGCAGGAAAACCTCTTCCAAAGGCAGGCGGAGAATAAACAAAGACCTCTTAAAGAGTAATTGCTTTCAAAAGGCTTTTCTTCTTCTTAGCCCTGTACCGTTTTCACGATTAATGTTCCTGTTTCAACAAAGCAGCTCACCGACTTATTGTACCAATACTGGTTACAGCTAATCTGCTCTGCTGACTAGGTAGAAGGCCTTTAGCTAAGGGCACCTGTAGTGTGCAAACAAACATAGCCACAGTATAATTTAATTTAATTTTACAGCCTGTAGCTACTGCTAAGACCCAAAAGAAAATATCCTCCACGTCCTATTTTTAACCACAAGGCTGCCATTTTTTCCTTCCTCCCTCAACCTCCCTGAGGAGACAGAGGAGGCTACCTCGACCCCTCCCTGTAGATCACGTCAGGGGCGTAGCGGTGGAGGAGAGGTGGCCATCCCAGCCACCCTGGACATAAACACCATGCTTCCTTGCATGTACACCTCCCCATAACCCCATATACTCAGATCCCGGATGTGTGCGTTTCTTTACAGTTCCCAGATTGAAATTTAAAGCCCCAAACAGGGTCAGAGATAAATTCCCTCCCCTCTCCGATTCGGCAGTCTCAGATCAGCGCGTGCTGAAGTTATGACTTTACCATTCAAATCTGGAATGTTGGATATCAAGGCTATCAAGAAGAGATCCATGGCCCAGTATGCTACAGTCCACTAAGAGAGAAGTAGGGGTTAAATGCCTTCCTCTCGGTCACTAAGCTAGCGTACTCTAATGGGCACGCCTCCTGAAGTGGCACATGGTAAAGGGAGTACTTCCTTGTTGGCAGTTGGCGATGAGGTCTTCCAGGTGCTTTAAGAGCCAGCAGCCAGGGGTCAAACAGCCGGGCAGGGCTGGTTCACACAACATGCTTCTGCGGCCAGGTGCAACCCCCTCAGAGCATGTCACACAGTCTGGCCAGCCCACCCTGCCTCAGAGTCTCAAACACAGGCGATGGGGACAGAGGAGAGGGAATGGGGCAGGCGTGCTCCGTCTGTCTGCTGGGGAGACCTGGAGTAAACGCATCGCAGCGGCCATCAGGTCAGGCCGATCGTCAGTCGGCACACCGCAGGGACAGGCGAGGCCGGCTGGCAGGGATCACACCTGTGGAAGCTCACAGAGGGGAGGCTGACAGGTGGATACCGCTGCTTCAACAGCTTAAACAGCTCCGAATATTCATTCACGAGCGCATTAGAATTGAATTTAATTGGGTATTAACATTATTACATTACAGAATGAAATATGGCTAGGAATTGCTAAATTCCGGGAAAAGGAAAATGATATTCGAATGAACAGGTGAGATTATAATTGAATGCAGATGAGGAAAATGATTATTAGACTGAACAGGAGAGCCACTATGTGTCCGTACCAACAGAGCACCGATTCATTAAATAGCCATTAATACTGGCTGTCTGCTTTCGGCTGGCTCACTCACCTCCACAAGTGACAGCAGACTGGGAGAGCTGTTTTTACGTGCCACACTGGCTGTTTAAAATGTGAGCGCAAATCGCCACTGACACTCTTGGATCCTTCCCAAATTCATGTCCCACCAACCACAGTGCTTAAGGGTGCTAATTTAAACCAGATTTAACGCTTACAAGTAAAAAAAAAACAAACGGATATTAACAAGTGTCAGCCTCTTTGATCTACTGCTGGCAGAACTACAAAACATGTTTTCTGATTTAATTTTTTTCAGTGTGGGTATGTATTTGTGCGAGAGCGTGTGTGTTCACTATGGTATCGGGTGTCTTGTTCCCTGGATTTGCGATGGGTACTTCCCCGCAGATGGGATCTTCTTTCATTTAAGAAGAGAAAGACCCTGGGCGATCTCTACACTGCTACATGGCTCATTAGCGCTTTCTCTCACACCCCTCCAGACTTTAGGTTCTGTTTTGACACAGTTTTATCTAGCGAGCAACAGAGGTTTCTTGAGAAGGCTGAAGGGGTTGTAAAATGCATCCACTGGGTGTTCCATAATGCAATGCTTTAAATGAAAGCAAAGAATTCCAGAAACCGCTGTCTGCTAAATCAACAACCATCAGAAAGGAAGAAAGCATAGCAGTGTAGGGCAGATATCATAGTCTCCGAAAAAGTTATCGCCAAACAAAATTCAAAACCGAGATTTCTTTTTATATATCTAGACTTTGACATCATTCTTGTTTTATTATTTCAACCAGTTTGGAACCAGCAGTTGGTTTGGGGTAGTCCTACCAGGCTACATGTTCTGTACCCACACGGGGAGAAAGAGGACCCATGCTAGATTCATTCACTCTTTTGGCACTTAAAGTTCCACAAGGCCTAATCAGAGACTCAACAGCAATCAGAGCAGAGGTTCTCCGTGACAGCACTGCAAGCCTGCAAGCACCCAGGAAGTAATAAGGAGTCACTGCTGCACCAGGAGCTGAGAGACGATTGGCCTGCTACTGCTCATCCCGTTCTGGTGGCATACAGACAGTTGTGTCCTGCTCTTGGGACAGTCACTGTCTGCCACTGCTCGAACCAGTGACTCCTGAGTCACCAAGATCAACCTGCACTCTGAGAGAACAACTTTCCTGATGGAGCTGCTGAGAAG